TAGCACAGACAATTGGCTTATAGAACCACTTTAATTCATTCCAGGAAGAAGAAAAAAGCTGTTCTGGAAAGCCAGATTGCCTGGGAAGGTGGTTCTAAGTACCTTAAAAAAATCCAGAGTAGGAAGATCAAGGTTACATTACATTCTCAGTGTTAAGAAATAAAATTTTGTGTGAGACTGATGGGAAACACTAATGGTCTAATCCTGCTCCCCTGTTCACTCTCCTACAGTTCTGACAAGTCAACCCATTACATCCAGTAGGACAAGTCCATGTAAGCAAAGAAATACTCACTGTAAGTGGGACACAAAAGGCCCTTAGTGGCTGTGCTTCGAAAGTTACTTAAAAAGTAGTTAGCAAGGGACCAGGAGGAGTGTGCCAGAAAAATGCCATAATTTCAGCTAGAAATGTTCCAGACCCTGAGCTCAAAGGTCTGGAAATACTCTCATCATGCATACTTGAAAAAGCAGCCTTCATTTTTCACGAAACCTTAATTTATTTATAAAAAAAGCACAAAACTGGATTCCCTTTTCCCAAGTTCGCTTTACCATACAGTCATATGGAGGTATAGAAACAGATATTATAGGGACAAATATTGAAACATGTTGGTTTTAATGACTTTTTAAGAATATTTTATATGTTTGTATTTAATGTTGATGTTTACGAAGAGATAACCAAGAAAAATGCTGCCATGTGTGCTAGATGAAGTAGACAGTGGAAATAAAAATAATTTTGGAAAACCGTACATAAGAACTTGAGTTTTGTTCAAAAGTTACAAGTAAACAAACAGGAGGAGATACTGAAAAGATGTTTCCCATGTATGTATTTGGAGGCCTTTGAGTTCAACCAGTGGGAGTGAGTACGGGTTATAGGGTCCTTTAAGGTTTTGTTGTTTGTTGTTGTTTTTTTTTTAAATTAGACTAGCTTTTGATCCCAAGTCATGTTTGTGAATAATCAGAGAGGAAAATGGGTTCCATCATACAAGTGACATTAGCCTAGTTTTCCTCTGGGAATAAGGAAGGCAACCATTTAAGCCTGAGTGGAAATGGCTGGGCATTACTCTGTTTTTCAGAAATCTGCATCTGCACTGCATTAACCCCAGCCACGTTTCCTAACAAAAGGAGAATGGGACCTACTAGATTAAGGGCTTCTTCTCTATGTATTTTGTGAGCTCTCTACTGCTCCTCAGTGTTTTGTAGATTAAAAACCAGAAAACATCTAGGTTGTATTTATATCTGAATGGCATGTTATGTATCATTAATAAATACAGGGTATTTACTTCACTGTGCCATAGTTTTGATCATATAACATACATTTGAGATACATGGTTAGAAACCTTCCTTTATGTCCTACCTAAAGAAGCAGCAGTGCACCTCCTAGAAGTCCTTACCTGGCAGAAAATAGTACCAGAAAATGAGTTTTCCTCAAAATACCCTTGAGGTTGTCCACGTATTTAGGAACTATTACAACCCTCAAGAAGTTTTGATTCAGAAGGATTTCTTTTTCTGAACTTAAAAACACAAGGATAGAGTCTATTGTTTCTTTCGATGTGTAGTTGAGTTTCCTAAGAAGATATTAACTCCTGTTTGGCTTAACATAGATAATTTCCTAGGAATTCAATATCACATTAACTCTTCAATGTTTGAGAGGGAAAAAGGGCATAGTTTTACATCCTTTTGGTCACAGAGAAACCTCCTGGGAAAGTCTGAGAAATGAAAACCCATTGATCCTATTTCTCTGTGATTAATAGATCAGCGAAGAGCTGCAGTTTTGAGCTGCATTTCTGACCATTTGGGCAATCTTTTCATTGAAGATGAACATTTAGCCACAGGCTGAAGTTTTACTGTACATTTTCTAATGTTAGCCAGTAGAAAAGCATTTTACTTTTAAGTCACTGTGATCAATTGCACTTTAATGACAATGACAGCTAATTCTGATCTCATTTTTGCATTTGCATTTGCAAGGAAATGCAATTGCATTTCTTTCAGTGACATGCCAGCAAAAAATATATGACTGCTGTAGCACTTACAAACAATCCACAATGAATAATTCACTCTCTGAGTCCAGAGTCTGTTTCTCAACATGGAATCATCATGAGCAGATTATAATTTCCTTGAATGTATTCATGATCGGGCTGAACTTTGGTGAGTTCTTTTCCTTTGTGGGTTAACTGTCAGCAATTAATTGCATGCCTGATTCTTGATATTTAGCATTTAAGGTGTGTTAATTGGTGGTGATGGGCTTTTATTGAATGCTTCTCAAAGGGATCAGCTGGAAGAGAGCATGGAGAAAAGTTTATTAAACAAATATGCGACTTTGTGAATAAGGAAGACTTTTTTTTCAGAAGAAAATATTTCCCTCTTAACTAGAGCAGAACCAGACATCTGTTATGCAAAATAAAAAAAAGATTGTTTTCTATTAGAAACAAGGGAACGTTCACCGAGCGCTGAGGAGCCATCAGGACAGATGAAGAAATCTGCCAGGAACCGCAGACACGCAAGGAGCAGTACACTGAGCCGGACAGACTTAATCTCTGGCAACTAAAGGTGGTGGTATCTTCTGCTTATGCAAAACACTTTAAACACAAGAAAAATTAAGAGAAATAACTGTAATCACTGTAAACTAAGTTCGGCTGCGCTTCCATGCCCATTTTTGTCTATTCAAAGCCAGCACTGGCTCCAAGTTTAATGAGAATTAACTCAATCCTCACATTAACATTTCCATTACTATTTTTGAAAAGCAAAAGTGAAGTTCTGCTGTGACAATATTTACTTTATACTAGTGTGTTTATGTTTAAACCATACATCTTCCATTGCATCTCCTTCTATGGTCAAGCTTTCTTCAATCCTAAGAGAAAGAATTATTAGAGTAATTACATTATGTTTTATTTACAGTACTAACATTTTAAAATTGTTTGCCAAAAATAGTTTGGTCTTATCTTTCACTTGGGATTCAGCTGAATTCTCTTCAACCTATGTCTAGCCGAATTCTATCTTGATAATACAGTTAATGTTTATCAGATTCTGTGAAATGAATGTTGCCTTTTATAAGGCATGGTGCTGTTGTTTACATCATTTCTTTTACTTGCTGAACATCCCATGTATTTATTTTCCTTCTTTGTGAATTACTTTCTCTGATTCCACTCCGTTATTACTTCTCTCCTGTGTGAAAAACTCAGTAAAATGGCTGAAATGTTTCACAAACAGAAACACTGGGGAAGAAAAGATTTGCAGTTTGTGAAGTGCCAGCTCCATTGCAGAGCAGTCGTGATCTCTGTCGTGATCTGCTCCATAATTCTGCTGCGTGGGTGGGTGTGATTTTTTTCCCTTTGTGTTCCCTGACTCACAGAGTATTTGATAAAGTGTGTGGAGGAAGAAGAGAAGCGAGGGCACAGACTGGCCATTAAAGCCGTGCTTGTACTGCAATGAAATGCAAGTTCTTCCATAAGAAATATGTCCTGAGCAAAGGAGGTGGGTTAAGACCCAGCCATGCACAAAACCCCGTGCGTATACACTGGATTATGAAAGCTTTTTTATGATAAATGTGTTGTGGGCAGCAGCAGCCAGCAGTGCTGGGGAGTCCACAGGGAGCACGTTGTGTTTAATGTCTTCTGGTGGATCTATCAGCTCTTTTCTTAGCTCTTACCTAATTTAAACAATTTATATTATGGCTTATCATAGTCCAATAGCAGCACAGTGATGCGATAATGTGAAATGAACCACCATCATTACAATTTGTTTGCCTGACAAAACTTCAAACTCCTAGAAAATGTAATATAATAACATAGTATTGTGATATAAGAATAATATATAAGTGTGTATAATAACATATAGTAATACGTGATTCTGTATTAAAATCTACTGTTTAAGAAAATTAAATATATACACAGTTATAGCATATATATGTATATAGGGATAGGAAGAAAGTTCAGAGGAATTTCATTAAAACTAAGAAGCCTAAGGAAAAAGTCTGTAAGAGTAAAGCTCTGTTATCTTGATTTAAGAAAAAAAAAAAGAAAGAACAGACTATTTATAAATACAGACTCTAAATAGAGGAGTAGTTCTGCACAGAATCAGGGCTGAATGGAGAAAGGTGAAATGAGATGAAAGACAGTTTAATTGAATGTACGTCTATCAAAATTCTTCCTCAAAAATTGATGAAAAATGACTGGCTAAACCTCTTAATTAATCAATTCTGTAACAAAAAATAGTGTGTCAGGCCCAATTTCAGTCTTTATACTACTTGATGGGTTTGCTTTAATTGTAAATTTATTACCAAAATAAACCTGAAAGGTAGATGAAGTGGAAATAATCTATGTATAGCAAACTAGAGGTTACATTTAAGTACCTCTAATGCACCCTCTTTCTTGTCTATGTACAACACCACCCTTTGAAGCAATAACAATTGCAGAAAAAAATATAATTCATAAAATACCTTCAGATTGTATTAGCATTATAGAATGGATCAAACTTATTCTTGAAGTAAATTCATTGCCTTTGATGGAGTCACACCATAGACAAGTTCAGTTCGGTGTATTTAATTTCCACTGCGAGTATTGAACTGGGGAAGCATGTTTAAGCTCATAATTGGCACACCAATGTATGGAAGAGACGTAAATGTGCTATTAATTAGGAGCTAAATATTGACACACAGAGAGATTAAATTATATCAAAACATTAAATGTAACTTGCTTAATGCACTATTAAGTATCCAAATATTGTGCATATGGAATTGTAATTACATGCTTGGATTCTGAACTAATTATCTGGCAAAAAAAAAATTAAGATTTTTCCAAGCACTTGGAACTGACCTGTCTTTACCCTGACAGAAGTCAATGACAAAATAGAATTAACCTGCATCATGTTTTGTCCTGGCTACTACAACTCCTCACAAGGAGCTGTTGCGTTGCTGCTTACATCTGCGGACACGGGCTTTCCATCAGGATACGTGCTACTCTACAAAGCTATCACATTAAGAAAACCCCCAATTTATTTTTCAGTGTTGTACTTCATTACTGGAGACAGCAGCATCACTGAGCCTCATCTACCACAGATTTAGCATTTGTCTTTTGATTGCTTTGTGTCAGGCATGCAGTGTCACCTTCTTGGCAAAGAAAATACAAGAAGTCCGGTAACAGTAACTTTTTGTAGCACGTACAGATGTTCCTCAAAATGTAAGCATGCGAAAAGAAACCTCTGAGAAAGGCAGAAAAGCAGATTGGAATTTTTCACACAGGATTCAGACCTTCACAAGAAGTGACATTAGAATTTGCAGTACCAAAAGGACTTTAGAAACGCTGAAAAGCAGTGGTAGCAGAGAAAACAGAAGGGAATATGAATTATTAGTTCAATATGAATTATTAGATCATTGGTTATCCTGTTTCACATTATGCTTGTAGAATTCTTCCTACTTCAGAGACATCAAGCCTAACAGAGTAGATTGATTTCAGTCCCTATCACAATTTGATAAGATTCACTAAAAGCTGAAAAATTAGCAGGCTAGTTGCCTTAGAACCAAGAGATGGAAATAAGTTAACACCTGTGGATACAAGTGGAAGAACAGTTTTTAAATGAAAACACTTTAATATATAGAAAAACAATTATATAGTTATTGACACTATATAGAAAAACAATTATATAGTTATTGACTATATAATATATATTGGCTTGGGTTTTTTTTGTGCTTTTGTGGGTTTTTATATTGTGGGTGGGTTTTTTTCCTGGGGAATGCTATCGAGATATTTTAAAGTTTTTTTTTTTTTTTTTTGTTCTTTTGTGGGTTTTTATATTGTGGGTGGTTTTTTTCCCTGGGGAATGCTATTGAGATATTTTAAGGATTTTGTATACAGGAAATAAAGGATCTCATGTACTTTGACTCTCGTTCAGGGCATATTCTGTTCACAGTAGATGAAATGTCATGCCATTAGAGCATAAATATGTATAGGTTGTTAGTACAATCACATTAATAGCTTAAGTTCTGCCCATGTAGCTGAATTAAGAAAAAACCTTGTAATTTAAATATGTTTTTTATAATGATAATTTTATACTGGATATCAAAGTAATACTATGTTAAAACCTATGTATATGCTATTATCATAGTCACAGGTCTATGTAAATATCTGTCTTGAAATACCTTTTAATAACTACTTTAAAATACTTCTACTTACAGACGATTATTATGCATTTAAAATAAATAAATATGCATGCATGCATATGAAGATGAAAATAATTAGGATAAATAAAATAACTTACACAACAAGGGAAGACATAAGATTATGGCTGGTCCATTAAAGTCTATGAATATCTGCCCATTGACTTCAATTAGCTTTGAATTAGGCACTTAAACAGCAGGAAGCAAATGGAATATTCTATTTGATTATCCTGGTCAATGAGCAATGAATGCATAAAAAGAACGTCCACAGACCCCAGTGGAATCGGCCTCTCTAAACTAAGCTAAAGAACCGCAACTTTTCACAATGTTATTTTTACTTATTTTTTTTCTGCCCAAAGCATTCTGGGCATCTCAGAGGTAGAGAAGAACCAACTTCTAAGTCTACAATGAATTTAGGTGCAGTTTCAAGGTTGCCAAAGAACAGGGGTCTACAAGAACACGTAAATATTATTGAAAATTTATTTTAAGGGGATATTTTTTGATGGTTTCAAATACTTTTTCACTACAGGGCCCAGTAGATGTGCTACATGCTAAGGAGCAGAGCCAGCAGCCAGTTCAAATGGAAAAGAAGACATAGTGGCTTCAGGCAAACCCTGCAGGGAGTCCCCACCACCTTCTGCAGCGGGTAACAGGAGTGGCAGGTGAGTGACCACAGCGCTGAGGATGAGGGGAGACGCAAACGGAACCCGGCACAAATAATGCTTAATGGCCTGAGATGGACAGTGTTTGGGTGATAAATGTCTCAATTTACCAAATTTACAAAAAGTAGGTCAGCAGTTAATTGGGGAATTCAGAGGCCTGCCAAGTCTTGCAGCCCTGCCATGGATCTCCTCTGCTCCCTCCAGTGCCATCCACAGCCAAGGTGGCATCTCAGAGAGTTTCCTTGACTGGCCACTTTGCTGCGTTCAGGGCCAGCAGTTGGTGCCAAGAGGTTAATTCACCCAGATGCCTTCCAGCTGCTGCCTCTAGCATCAGCAACCACTGTCCTGGAACAGCCATCCACAATGAAGCAGGAGCTTCCAGGCTGATGGAGAGAATCTTCCTCTCTCCTCTGGAGTGGTTTTCTTATTCTGTATTTCATCTCAGACTAATTCTTTGCTTATTTCTCTGCCTCTTACCCTCTTCTGAAGACGTTTTGTACTTATCCTTGACTTTACCAGGCAGTTTGGACATCTCAGGATCTGAAAGGTATGACCAATTACTTTGTGCCAATTGCTGTATGTCTCTAGCAGGAGGGAAAGTATTAATTATTGCAAGCAAACCATATTTTTTTTTGCCTTTCTTAATCCAAAGTTGATCCAAACCATACAATTTTCGGTCGTGGTTTAGAGAAACCTGGTTTTGATGCCAGCTGGAAGGAGCAATATTGGATATATCTGTTTTCCTTTGCTGAATATATCTGAGTTTATCAGAAGTGGCAAGCAATCCCAAGGAAAATTTAAAACTAAATGAAATAGAAAAGAACCTTGGTTATCATTCACCAAAAAAAAAAAGTGCTACATCTAATAGCATACAAAACAGTGATTAAACTGCAAAAGAAACATGTTAAGAAAAATTGAAGACAATTGAAGACAATTGAAGACATTGTACAGTATTTTAACACAATTGCTAGAGTGAATGAGACAAGGCATCTTGCTACATCTGAAATATTAATTGCGAAGCACTAAGAATGGGAAACTTTTAAATTAGATTATGCCTTAAAGGCTGTAGTGTAGGAAATTACAAGATTATAAGTTTTGGGGGCTTTATTATTTTTTTGTATTATTGTTAAGGTAACAAGTAAATTGAAAGGAAAATGGCAACGCAAGGTGAGATGGCTGCTGGGGTAGATGAGCCAAAAAGACTTCAAAAGCTCAGAGCTGTAGCACTAGCAGACAATACCAAAGGAAAACAAATAAGATTAGATGCTTTTGTCCATCAGTCTTAGAAAACACCCAGGCATACATTCCCTACCCCTGCTGGTACCTACAAGCAGGGATGCTTGAGCAAGGGGAGGAAGCAGGAGGAGTTACAGGCTACAATTAACCCAAGTGTTGGCAGTTGGGATTCTCCATCTACAAAAGTTGGAGGGTTTTTGCATCTTACTAGCTTCAATCCTTTGGCCTGAGCAGCTCTGCAGAGTAAGAGATCCTCTAAGTAGAGAATATGTAGATAAAGAATTGTAATGTCAGCTCAGAGACATGGGTCATCGGGATGAAGGATGGTGACTAACATCCAGACCTGAACGAACACCTGCACTATTTGATGAACGCTGGGACAGCTGGAGTAAAACATCACTGATGTATTTTACAATAACAATTTGCATATTGATTAAAACCCATAATGTAGATTTCCTCAGGTTTGCTCTGAACTTTTATACTGGTACCTGGCAGCCTCTTAAATGTGGATGCAGGAAAATTACTTGTACTGTCAATAGCTGTTTACCTATATTAAAATAATTAGCAATCAGAGTGTACTCCACTGTCTTGCACACAGGGAGTCTAATTAACTTTCTCCTTTGGATTTATACATCTACTAACAAATAAATGGAAAGCCGTCCCGTGTCCTCCATCATGGGAATGTGTCTGTCTGCATTTTGGAAAGGCAAATACCAGTTCAAACAAGGACACGCTTTATGTCAGAGATTTGTCACTGTATCTTTGCAGTGCATCATACCATCATGGCGCCTTATTCAACACAAAGCATTATTCAACGCGTTACGCTGAGTGATGCACTGCAATGACAAAGTGTTAATCTCCATTAAAAATTTAAAAGGCATACAGCTATTTTCATCTGGGGAAGCTGCTACAGATTCATCTGCGGCCCTTCCCAGCTGAGGCGAAGTGGCAGCCATATCTCCCAAGCTATTACAAATTACCAGGCGACAATCCTTCAGTGCAACTTCCAGCAGCAGAAGCCGGAAAGCGAAATTGCTTCATAAAAAGATGAAGTCCAGTGCTCTTTTCTGCTACTTAATATACTACTGAAATGAAATAGCATGACTTTCCTATTATTTGCAGATGACTGTCAGAGATTTAAGTACACTGGGCACCATTATGATCTCAGACATTATTTTATTCTGAAAATACATCAACATGCTTCCATCTTTCTGTGGGTGGTAGGCTTCCAGCTAATTCTGTAGCGGTTTGTGATCTGATCTGCTTGGGGGTTTGGATAAGTTAGTGCCCCCCCACCCCGCAGAGAGCAGAGCCAGGGTTACAAATGGATGCTGAAGGCTGAGAATAGGAAAATGTCATCTGTGGCAACGATTGTCTACATTGGCAATACCTCTTTGGAAGATATAGAAGAAAGAGGTGTCCATAGTAATGTAATTTCAACCAAGCTTGACTTTGAACGGCTGTGGAGACAGTGGCCTCTTAATGATTCCATGTAGTGCTGCAAAGGCATCACAAGCTGGTAGGATTGAGTAAGTTGTAGAGAAATGGTGGTTTCATCTGCCCCCCAATGGGCTGATTCCATTGTCTGACACCTTTTCCCTCACATAGTTACTGAAACTTTTCTGATGTCATTGAATTCATACTCAAATAGCCTTTAATAATGGAGTTTTCACTGAGAAAATTAACCACTCTCTATTTATTAATCTTAATAATGGCAACATGAATAGAAAGAACAGAAGGAAGAGGGTGATGAGATAAAGGTCAAGGAAGATGGTGCAGGGGGTTGTTACTGGGCTGATGAACTGACATTCACATCTTTTACTCTTTGGGTTTTTTTTTAAGAAAGGTGCAATTCTACTGGAAAAATGCAGCCTCTTCTCATGTTTTTACATTGGGCACAGCACATAAACCATGGTGACAACAGGCCACAATACCCATGCAAAGTTGGGAACTGTAGGGCAAGGCAAGAAAAGTAGCAGCTAAACCCCAAGGAAACAGGTAACCTGAAGGGACCTGCTCCACGAGGAATTATGGATTCCCCGACACACAAAAAGCAAGACCATGGACGAATATGAAAACAAGGAGGGTGAAAAACAAGTCTGGAAACAAGAAAGCTCACAGAAAATAAAAATGGAAAAGCTTTGATTATCTTAATAGGGAAAGCTTATAATAAATGATGAAAAATGCTACCATGAATAATGTCTGAAAGCCATATAAATCAGTAAAAATGTTTGATGGGTGACACCAATTATATTGAAGAGACACCATTTTCTTAATCAGAAATAGAAGAAAGCAAGCAAAACAGTGAATTTATGTTACAGATCTGAGCACTCAGACATTCTCATGCAGTTATAAATAGGCTGTTTAAATAGGGTAGTTTGTGAGACACGTAATTCCAGCTGACGTGAGGAATTGTTGAAAAGCAAGAGGAAACCTGTCTGTGTGCTGCTTGTTAGAGTAACAGCTTGTGACTGCACTCAGAAACAATTCTCCTAAAGACCCGGTCTCCTTCTCTTACAAAGAGCACAACCATGGATTTTTGACTATGATGGGGAGTGCCAGAGGTGATTACAAATAATGGTAAGCAACTATTAATCCACTGTCACAATAAATTTGTTTAAAGAGTGTGAGAAAGAGTATGAGATAATACCTAACGCAGATGAAGCATGTTAAACATTTTTTTCAAACATTATTTTTCAAAAGTATTAAAAATAAATAAAAAAACCCAAACCCAGAGCACCCTAATTTGTTTTATGAAGCTTGTTTTTTAAAATCATAGAAATCCTATATTTTAACTTCCTCTTGTGGGAAGATAAATATCCTGTTCTGGATACTGTGCCTACACTGAACTGGGCAAATACTCCATGATTCCATTAGCACAATGACAAGGCAAACTAATAATTAGCTTCAGCATAATACTAGGATAGCTACATGACTTTTGGTTGCCTTTACTCATGGGCCAAGTCCTGTGAGAATACCCTGTACATCTAAATACAACATATAAACCTTTCCAGAGACATTGAGCACTTTGTACCATTCTTTAATATGTTAGTGAAGGTGCAACATCCTTCAGCTTCTACAACTTATATTTATTGGTGGATGTCTGGGTTTTACACCCCATTTTAGAAGTGAAATGTGTGTCTTTATCGATTTTTAGACTTCTCTCCTAAATTTTGTCTGTTTTTACATACTGCCTAGCAATGCAGCTTGCAGGTGCTGCTGTAATATCCAAATTGAATAAAAAGGAGAATAATGGAATTAAGAATCAAGGATTATTACTTCTGATTTACATCATATTTTAATTGTAGCTGTTTTCCTATGCAAATGCTACTGCTGGGAAGAGAGTTATGGGTAAACCCAGAAAAATTAATCGTATTAATTTTAATTTTATATGCATTCCCAGCCATGAAAGTAATAAGCAAATGTATTTTATTCATAAACCAATAACTATATGTGTACTTATACATATATTTTTAAAACGTTAAGGAAAATGCAAAAGTTACTCTTATTTACAAATGTGGAAAAGAAAACACAGGAGTTTTGTCTCAGGGGCAAGGAAAGCTGAGATTGTAAACTAGAATCGATGCCCTGGTGCTTAGCAAGCTGGCTGGTGCATCCTCTCTGGGACCAGCTGTGGGACCAGGTGTGCTCGTCACTGGGGAGGCTGTAAATGTGGGTTGTGGGACACCAGTCAAGAGATTTCTGTGGAGCTGATCAAGCAGATGCCCTGAAGTAAAGCCAGAGGACGAGGGTAAGAGAAGGCTGCTAAGGAGAGCTGCTGGGGGCTGGAGCACAGCGTGGGTGGAGTGGTTAGAGCATCCTCTGCTCTGAGAGGTTATAACAGGGGGTTAAAGGAAAGGAGGTTTTATGCTGAGAGATAGGGCTACAAGGGAAGGCACAGATTCTTTTTGTGGCTCTGAAAAGTTACAAAGGACTGAAAACATAGCTTCACTTTTTCTTCAAAGCCTCTGCTCTGTATCGTTTCATATCTATTACAAAGCCTGCTTCAAACTTCTGTTTTCTTTCTCTGTAGCAGTTATTTGCTGTCTGTCTGGCTAAGCTGATCCTTCTGCTTTACCATGCCACTACTTTGCAGGGAAAATAAAGCCAGAAACTGACAAATAAGTTCTTAATAATAATGAACTTGACATTATGAGGAGCAGAGTTTTTAAGATAAATTCATTTGGCTGAGTTAATGAGTGGGTAAAGTTACAAATGGGTATAACTTATCAGAGTTTAACCAGCACTTGATTTGAAAATTTACTGGAACATATAACCTAAATTAGCACAGGGCTAACCTGTCTCCTGAAA